TATATATATATATATATATATATATATATATATATAGCGAGAGAGAGAGAGAGATAGATATCATGAAATAACATTTCTCATATCGTCTCAGCCCCCCCACCCACCACCCAAAACCCTAAGTTAAGAAAGTGTTAATAAAGAATAACAATTTAGTCCCTCTGTAATTCTCTTTGCCACCTTGAAGAATTCTCAGTTACTTAAAGTGTAGATAGACGGCCGGGAAGTAAGAAAACACACAGTCAAATGTATCCTCAATACTTCAATTTATTCATAGAAATACAGATATTATATAGGCATATGTCGAGGGGAGTTTCACCCTCTTAACCAATGAGGATATGAATAACATACACGTAGGATCTTTGGCCAAGAACATGTGTTTATATAAAATGGCCACATGTACAGAAAAACATGGACATATTAGGAATAGACTTTTGCGAAGAATGCTGAACTGTCTTCAGAGTTTCATCACAAACTCCTTTACCCTTGTAGTCCTAACATTCCTAGCTATCATGTCCTTATTTGGGACATTTGAACCAAGAGAAGCTAATGTATACATTTAAGCATGCATACTTCGCATATGAGTAAGACATATTTAAAACATAATATCAAGAGAGAGAGATGGATACAGAAGGGGGGATTCAGAGAGAATGCGTTGTATATATTAGAATGAGAGAGAGGGAGAAAAAGGAGGGGTGAGACATATCTGGACTCAACAGAAAGACAGAGAGTGTTTTCTAACAGAAAGTTTGTTTGGCTAATTCCTTTATAACTATAGCTAACGACTTTTACCTGTTTCTAGTAAATGCAATTCATTGTTTGAAAACAAACAAACAGACAAATAAATAAATAATTAATTAATTCCCTAAAAATCAAACTTAACTAAATGCCACACATTCATAATAAATGGCAGTTATTATGTACTATACAGCAGTGATCGGTTTGTTTCACACGCGATTTTATGGTTGTTAGGAAACAAACGCTTCTGGCGAGAAACGGACTGAAGCCACAAATAATGAGCTCTTTTCCTGCATCATGGGGAGTAAAAGTCTTCAGATTAAAAGTAAAAAGGCACACATTAACATATCATAAAACATGAAGTAGAAAAAAATTATAGAGAAAAATATATCTATATTACAACGGTTAGTCCTGTAATGTTGTATAGCAAATAACCGAATATGTTATTAAGTTCAGTATTTGCATCTGAGCTTACAATAAAAAGAGAGTAAAAAAATGGTACATAAAGTATATCACGGTGACAGCCTCAACTCTGCATTGTGAGATTTTTATTTTGAAATATTAAAGGTGTGCGTAATATATAACCAGTGTTGCCAATTTAGCAATTTTGTTGCTAGATTTAGCAACTTTTCAGACTACCCTAGCAACTTTTTCTTCCAAAAGCACCTAGCAACAAATTTAGCTATTTTTAGCAACTTTTGATAAGTGACTCAAACGATAAAAAAGGCACACATTTTCCATCTAAATTACACAAAAAGAGGAAACCAAAGGTGACTAGCAGTACACAATTCACATGAATTAAGTTGGCTGCTATTAACAATTGTTTAATTTAATAATAATAATAATAATAATTGAATAATTGTTCATTTATGATACACCTTGTTAGTAGCTTGTACTTGAGTTTGTTCATCAGTTAGTGCACGGTAAGAAAAATAGTAGTAATTTTCCAGGACATTTTCCATTATCCATTGTAACCCTGTAACCCGAAAACACAAAATACAATGCGTAATTTAAAATGTAGATAAAAAAAACGTGTAAATAATAATTACGGAAAATTCCTTCATTTTAATAGATTTTGCCCTATTTTTACAGACTTTTCTTAGAGTGTAGCATACGAACTACTAATACACTGCTTAAATCTATAATTGTTCAGAATGAGTAGTTTTACTAGTTTACTAGCTAATAAAAATAAACTTAAATTGTAATTGTTAAAAAATGTGTTAAATAATTCAATGTTGTATTTAAAATTAGTCATTTATATTTTATTATATTATGCATTTATATTATTTTATAAACGCATCTATATTAACATTAACATTTTTTTTTTCCTGAGATTTGATGCAGTGACACAATTTTGCATCGTGATTACGCAATGACGACACCGTGCAATGACATCGCGTCATTTAGCAACTTTTAGCAACAAATCAATCTTCCTTTAGCAACTTCCCCTGAAAATTAGTTGGCAGCACTGTATATGACTTCACTGTCAGTTTTAACCATTTGGGAGCGTAAAGTAGCAACAAGTGGAGGAAGAGAGCACAATCACAGCTGCAGATGACACTATAAGAAGACATTGTTATTATTCATAATGATTTAGTGCTCAACAAGTATTTACCGTAGACTTACGTTTACATTAATACTTTTTGCATTACCACTTTATATAAGCCTATCACAGAAGTAGCGCTTCTCGATAGGGATGTAACGGCATGACAATTTCTTATCACGATTATAGTGACCAAAATGATCACGGTTATCGGTATTATCACGGTATTGTTAAAATGTGCTGGAAATGTTCAAAAAGTACACACTAATCATTTCACCAAGTTTTACATTTCAAATCAACAAACAACAAATAAAATGAGTTTTTGTTTGCATAACTAAAACAATAACATTGCCAATGATGTTCGGATTTTAAATGACAACATGACTGACAACAGTTTACCTAATAACATGTTCAAATATCTAATGTAACTGTTCAAATAAAGCTTTGAAAAAGTTTCATAAATGGTAAACCTCACATTTCAGCTTTTAAATAAAGAAAAGGGTCAAGTCAAAATGACAATTGATTAATAAATGATTATATGTATTTATCTGCTCCATAAATAATACTGGACACCTTATTGTTTAAATGTGTGATCTACACACCTTTCACTTTTTAAGACTAAAACAAAAGATGGATTCATTGTTATTCTTAATTAAAAAGCATAACAACAATAAAACAGTAAGATACAATGACAAACTAGCTTATAAAACGTTTATTAACAAAAACGAATAAGACGAGGCATGGCACACAACACAGGCTGTATTATATACCGACTAATAAATTACAGAACGTTTAGCAAACACTGAGGAATCAAATAAATAAAAAGAGAGCCTCCATAGCATAGTTTCTCGTAAGATACAATGACAAACTAGCTTATAAAATGTTTATTAACAAAAACGAATAAGACGAGGCATGGCACACAACACATGCTGTATTATATACCGACTAATAAATTACAGAACGTTTAGCAAACACTGAGGAATCAAATAAATAAAAAGAGAGCCTCCATAGCATAGTTTGCAGTTTGATGTTTCTCACATGCAACAGAAATGCAGCGCTTATGAGTTAAACAATGCGGTGGTCGCGCCAGTGCGACCGCACGCAAAATTTAGTCGCACCGGCAGAAATTTTTTTCGCAAAATGCGCCCATTTGGTCGCACACTGGAGCCCTGTGCAGTACAGTATTTATTTATCCTCAGTTGTTCAAATCGCGGTAATCGAATACGGTTATAGTGATAATTAAAATATGAAACGGTAATACTAACCGTGGGGTATTTTATCACGATTTATCGTCAAATCGTTACATCCCTATTTCTCGATATTTGTGAATGAGTTCTGCAAACTGGTGAGCTAACAAAATGATGAAAAATAAATATATCTTTACATTATTTTTTAATATAATATATTACACTAACTACATCACATAAATATTACTAATTATGTATTCATAAGAATTTTAAAAGAATGTCACTGGACTGCATACTGTAGTCTCTTATGCCTGTCTGCTCTGATAATCAGCAAAAATATGTGCCAATAATAGATACCTAAATTTGCATAAGGATACAATAAAGTACAGGATGTTTTAACTAGTCTTTTCTTGTATTCAGGAGGAACATGAGTGAGCAAGACTGCTTTGCGGTTCTGGACTCTGAGTTTGATCATTACCTGGTGGACATGAAGTCATATGTGCTTAAACTGACCGACAAGACAGGTGAGAAAAAAATATATACAGTGCTGCTTGAAAGAATTTTCTATATTTCTGCATAAATATGACCATCATCATCAGATTTTCACACAAGTCCTGTAAGTTGACAAAGAAAATCCAATCAAACAAATGAGATGGAAATATATATGTTGTCATTTATTTATTCTGGAAAATGATCTAATATCACATGTCTGTAAGTGGCAAAAGTATGTGAATCTCTAGGATTAGCAGTTAATTTGAAGGCGAAATTAGAGTCCATCTGTTCAGAGGTGTTTTCAATCAGTGAGATGACTTATCAGGTGACAGTTTATTTAAAAAAACAGGGATCGATCAAAGTCTGATCATGTTTGTGGAAGGGAATCATGGAACGAACAAAGGAGGTCTCTGAGGACCTCAGAAAAAGAGTTATTGTTGCTCATCTGGCTGGAAAAGTTTACAAAGCCATCTCTAAAAAGTTTGTACTCCACCAATCCACAGTCAGACAGATTGTGTACAAATAGAGGAAATTCAAGACCACTGTTACCCTCCCCAGCAGTGGTCCACCAACAAAGATCACTCTAAAAGCAAGACGTGTAAAAGTCCACTAGGTTTCAAAGGACTGCAGGCTAACTTCTAAGCAACTAAAGGTCTTTCTCACATTGGCTAATGTTAATGTTCATGAGTCCACCATCAGGAGAACACTGAGCAACCATGGTGTCCATGGCAGAGTCGCAAGAAGAAAGCCACTGCTCTCCAAAAAGAACATTGCTGCCCATCTGCAGTTTGCTAAATATCATGCAGACAAGCCAGAGGAATACTGGAGAAATGTTTTTGGACGGATAAGACCAAAATATAACTTTTTGGTTTAAATGAGCAGCATTATGTTTAGAGAAAGGAAAACACTGCGTTTCAGCATAAGAACCTTATCCCATCTGTGAAACGTGGTGGTGGTATCATGGTTTGGGCCTGTTTTGCTGCATCTAGTCCAGGACGGCTTGCCATCATTGATGGAACAATGAATTCTGAATTATACCAGCAAATTCTGAAGGAAAATGTCAGGACATCTGTTCAAGAACTGAATCTCAAGAGAAAGTGGGTCGTGCAGCAAGACAACGACCCCAAGCACACAAGTCATTTTACCAAAGAATGGTTAAAGAAGAACAAAGTTAATGTTTTGGAATGACAAATTCCGGACCTTAATCCAACTGAAATGTTGGGGAAGGACCTGAAGCAAGCAGTTCATAGAAGGAAACCCACCAACATCACAGAGTTGAAGTGGTTCTGTACTGAGGAATGGGCTAAAATTCTCCACAAGCCGTTGTGCAGGACTGATCAGCAGTTACAAGAAACGTTACTTGCAGTTATTGCTGCAAAAGGGGGTCACACCAGATACTGAAAGCAAAGATTCACATACTTTTCCCGCTCACAAATATGTGAAACGTGATAATTTTTCTCAATAAATAAATGACAAAGTATATACTTTTGCCTCCGTTGATTGATCTCTTTGTCTACTTCCAGGACTTGAGTGAAAATCTGATGATGTTTGGGTTATATTTATGCAGAAATATAGAAAATTCAAAAGGGTTCACAAACTTTCAAGCAGCACGGTATATATATATATATATATGTATATGTAAGAAAATTATAATTTTACAAGAAAATGTACGTTTTACAAATCCACATTTCCCCATCAGAGCACCAGCGATGTGCACTGTGGATTAAAAAGTTGTGTGATTCTGAGACCTGTGACTCTGGACTGACTGGAAGGAAAAATCGTAACATGTACACCCGACTCCTTCTGCACATGCTCAGAAAAGCAGTTTTAGAGGGTCCATTTACCCACAAACCTGAAGCAGGCGGCCTCAAGACTTTACCCACATACATGGTAAATACTGCACTGATACATGCCTTTATCTTGATTTGTATAAGGCAACCTCTTGAGCGCATGATTTCTAAGCGTTGTGAGTTTTGTGTGTTTTTCTGATTTAGTCCATCTATTTCGGTGAGCCGTTGCTGGGAAGGTCACAGGAGCAGAGATCTGCTGTGCTGCCAGACTGGGTGTCTGGGGAGTTGGGTCAGACTGATGGCTCATGGTCCACCTTGCCCCTCTCAAACACACACAGGTATGACACTGGACCTCCTGTTAATCTTGACTAAGCCCCTGTGTTGAGGTTAAGATGTGTTGCGATGTAATGTATGATTTATTAATTTCATATTTGTGAATGAGGCTCCAGTATCCCGGCAACTCTGCATAGGACAAGCAGTTTGATGGATGAATAATTGTGAATATTGAATCATGAAAATGACATATATGTCCAGGTCATACAGTATTTTGACCCAAAATCAAAAGAAAAAATAAAAGATATTTTGCAAGACAACAAAGCCTATTATATTACACAAGCCTTTAAATTCATAGGACTGGGTGATTAAAAATAATGATGCTAAATAAACACAAAGTCAGAAAGATTGAATTATTTTTTTACATAAATGAATTGTTTTATTCAGGCAGGATGCATTAAATAATGACAGTAAAACATTTATAATATTACAAAAGATTTCTACTTCATGTTTTTTATTAATAGTTGAACTTTCTATTCATCATTCAAAGAATCCTGAAAAAAAAAAATATATATATATATATCAGCAGCATCCTGAAAAAAATTAAGCAGCACAAATGCTTTCAACATTCATAATAATGAGAAATGATTTCCGAGCAACGAATCAGCATATTGGAATAATTTCTGAAGAATCATGAGACACTGAAAACTGGAGTAATTATTTCTGAAAATTCAGCTTTGCATCACAGGAATAAATTACATTTTAAAATAAATTAAAATAGAAAACAGCTATTCTAAGTTGTAATAAAACATATTTCACAATATTACTGTTTTGACTGAATTTGCCTGCTTTGCTATAAATAATGTCTATAGCTTTGTGGAATAATGTACATTCAGCCTGTCATTATTGTGAAACAAACCCCCTCAGTGTGACAGAACCCCAACATGAAGCCAATCATTTGGTAATTACTTGTTTCCAATTTAATAAATAAATGATACAATTAAATGCAATAAAATGACAATACAATATTTATTTATTTAGTGAGAAGAAAGAGCATGGAGAAATATGAGAGCTATGAAACTAGAACAGATCTGTACACTCTCAGATATAAAGGTACAAAAGCTGTCACAGGGGTGGTACCTTTTCAAAAGTTACACTTTTGTACCTTTTAGCTACTAATATGAACCTTTAAGGTATCCTTTAGGTACAAAGGTGTACCTTTTGAAAAGGTCCTGCCGCAGTGGCAGCTTTCGTATCTTTATATCTGAGAGTAGATTGTTTGCCATGGACACACAGTAGTTATACCATTTAGTGCTCATACAGATATTTTCAATCCCCAAATGCAGGAACTGAGATATTCCAGAGAGTCATTGTAATAAGAACAACATTTCATCAAGCTCTCTGTGAAGGTTTCCCATATTAGATGAAGATTGATCTTGACGTTGGTCAAATTTATGCAGAAATACAGAACATTGACAAGCTTTCTAGCGCAACTGCAGTTACCGTGGTATAAAGTTACTTATACTAAAATCAATGAAATCACAACATTGTGTAAGACAATGTGATCTTAAAGTAATAGCTCAGCCAAAAATAAAAATCATCATTAAGACACCCTCATGTTAGTCCAAACCTGTATGACACACACACACACACACAACTTTACACAAGGACTCATTGATGACTTTATTAAAACCAGGCCTGTAGAACATGAAATAGTTGCACCCTCAGTCGACACTCTCACAGCACTTTCTATTGTGTCTGTGTTTGTTCACTGCACTGATAAGTAGCTTCATGCAAGCGCCCTGCCCTCAAATCTCCACAGAAAGCTCTGCAGATCTCCTCAGAACTGGAACACCTGTCATTCACCAAGCTCTACACATCCCCAGCCCCACTGTCGACGACTCTCTTGTTGTCTTTGAAAAAATCCCATTAAACTGTCACTTACGACTCCAACTGAGCTTCAGTTATACTGTATGTTTTCCTTCCTAAAAACTCTTGTCTCTTAGGTGTAGAGCCAGGGAGTCCACATCCTCTTATGCCATTTCCCTTGAGCCAGTAGCTCTCTAGCCCCATTCACACCAGTAGGTCACTGGTTCATGTTGACATGTGAGAAGAACTTCCTTGAGAGAAAAAGGTTGTATCTAAATTGCACCAGTGCACAATCCATGCCAGTTATGCTCCTGAAGTCACCAACTCTCACTGAAAATGAATGAGTTCAGGTTGCTCAAGTTGCTGTAGGTGTGAACGAGACTTCAGGAACACAAGCTGTCTTGTCCCAGAAGAGATTAATAGATTCAGTGCCAGTGAGATGTATTATGAAAGCATGATGTTCTGTAAGTGTTCAGTTCAGTGATGATCTGGCTGGTCTTTAGTAATGTCATTTGCTGAAGATAAAAGTATTCCCTGAAACTCTGAAACACTTTGTGTTGGAAGCTAGAGCCAAAAATCACAAAGTGCTCCTTTGAACTCTGTCTTGTAAGACTGTTCTGTACACTCCAGTGCACGTTAAACATAATGCAATAATTTTTTATCAAAATGGTAGTTATAAGTACAAAATGTAATAATATTTTTTAAATAGTTTTAATTACATTAAAATAAACATAAACTTAAAAATTTTACTCATTTTGTGATTATGACCTGCTTTATTTATTTTCTTCTGTCTATATATATATATATGTGTATATATGTGTGTGTGTGTAATGAAATTAACTCATTTGTAAGTCGTTAATTCTATAAGGGAACACTTTGCTAAAATGTAAAGTAGTGTTTGCCATGGACACACAGTAGTTATACCATTTAGTGCTCATACAGATATTTTCAATCCCCAAATGCAGGAACTGAGATATTCCAGAGAGTCATTGTAATAAGAACAACATTTCATCAAGCTCTCTGTGAAAATGTCCAAATGGGGCCCAAAGTGTCAATATTTTGTGCGCCCACCATTATTTTCCAGCACTGCCTTAACCCTCTTGGGCATGGAGTTCACCAGAGCTTCACAGGTTGCCACTGGAGTCCTCTTCCACTCCTCCATGACGACATCACGGAGCTGGTGGATGTTAGAGACCTTGCGCTCCTCCACCTTCCGTTTGATGATGCCCATGCTTGGCCAATCCATCACCTTTACCCTCAGCTTCTTTAGCAAGGCAGTGGTCGTCTTGGAGGTGTGTTTGGGCTCGTTATCATGTTGGAATACAGCCCTGTGGCCCAGTCTCCGAAGGGAGGGGATCATGCTCTGCTTCAGTATGTCACAGTACATGTTGGCATTCATGGTTCCCTCTGGATATGACGGTGAGCACGTGCACTCAACTTCTTTGGTTGACCATGGCGAGGCCTGTTCTGAGTGGAACCTGTCCTGTTAAACCGCTGTATGGTCTTGGCCACCATGCTGCAGCTCAGTTTCAGGGTCTTGGCAATCTTCTTATAGCCTAGGCCATCTTTATGTAGAGCAACAATTCTTCTTTTTTTCAGAGAGTTATTTGCCATGAGGTGCCATGTTGAACTTCCAGTGATCAGTATGAGAGAGTGAGAGCGATAACACCAAATTTAACACACCTGCTCCCCATTCACACCTGAGACCTTGTAACACTAATGAGTCACATGACACCGGGGAGAGAAAATGACTAGTTGGGCCCAATTTGGACATTCTCACTTAAGGGTATACTCACTTTTGTGGCCAGGGCCAGCGGTTTAGACATTAATGGCTGTGTGTTGAGTTATTTTGAGGGGACAGCAAATGTCCCCATGTTATACAAGCTGTACACTCACTACTTTACATTGTAGCAAGTGTCATTTCTTCAGTGTTGTCACATGAAAAGATATAAAATATTTACAAAAATGTGAGGGGTGTACTCACTCCTGTGAGATACTGTGTGTATATATGTATATATAGTCGTGGCCTAATGGTTCGAGAGTCGGACTCGTAACCCAAAGGTTGCGAGTTCGAGTCTCAGGTCTGGTAGGAATTGTAGGTGGGGGGAGTGAATGTGCAGTGCTCTCTTCCACCTTCAACACCACAACTGAGGTGCCCTTGAACCTCCAACTGCTCCCCGGGCGCTGCAGCGTAAATGGCTGCCCACTGCTCCGGGTGTGTGTTCACGGCGTGTGTGTGTTCACTACTGTCAAGTCAAGTCACCTTTATTTATATAGCGCTTTTAACAATACAGATTGTGTCAAAGCAACTGAACAGCATTAATTAGGAAAATAGTCTGTCAATAATGCAAAATGACAAAAGTAAACACTAATTTTTCAGTTAAAGGCAGTTCATCATTGAATTCAGTGATGTCATCATTCAGCTCAGTTCAGTTTAAATAGTATCTTTGCAATAATTTGCAATCAAGTCAACGATATCGCTGGAAATGAAGTGTCCCCAACTAAGCAAGCCAGAGGCGACAGCGGCAAGGAACCAAAACTCCATCGGTGACAGAATGGAGAAAAAACCTTGGGAGAAACCAGGCTCAGTCGGGGGGCCAGTTCTCCTCTGGCCAGACAAAACCAGCAGTTCAATTTCAGGCTGCAGCAAAGTCACATTGTGCAGAGGACTCTAGTTCCTGTGGTCTTGTCCCGGTGGTTGTCTGAGACAAGGTCTTAACAGGGGATCTGTATCTAGGGCTCATCTAGTTGTCCTGGTCTCCGCTGTCTTTCAGGGCTGTAGAGGTCCTTTCTAGGTACTGATCCACCATCTGGTCTGAATACGTACTGGATCCGGGTGACTGCAGTGACCATCTGATCTGGATACAGACTATATCTGGTGCCAACGGTGACCTCAGAATAAGAGAGAAACAGACTAATATTAGCATAGGTGCCATTCTTCTAACGATGTAGCAAGTACATCAGGTGTTACGGGAAGTGTTCCTGGTTCCGGTTGACCTAATTAATGCAGCCTAAAAATCCTTTTACAGATTTGATTATTAGAAGTGTATTAGTGTGTTATGTGTAAGCCAGGTTAAAGAGATGGGTCGCTAATCTAGATTTAAACTGCAAGAGTGTGTCTGCCTCCCGAACAATGTTAGGTAGGTTATTCCAGAGTTTGGGCGCTAAATAGGAAAAGGATCTGCCGCCCGCAGTT